CCCCCCCTCCCCCCTCCCCTTCTTCCCTTCTTCCCTTCCTTTCCTTTCCTCTTTCCTTCTTTCTTTACTATCTTCTTTTTTGACAGGGGTTTTCACTCTTTCCCTAGGCTGGAGTGCAGTGGTTCAATCACAGCTCACTGCAGCCTCAACCTCCTAGACTTAGGGATCCTCCTGCCCCAGACTTCTTAGTAGCTGGGACCACAGGTGCATGCAACCATGCCTGGCTAATTTTTTATTTTTCCATTTTTGTAGAGATGGGGTCTCACTATGTTTCCCAGGCTGGTTTCAAACTCCTGAGGATCCTTCTTGAGTAGCTGGGACTATAGGCATGAGCCACTGCGTCTGACTTCATTGTTCTTTCAAGGAATGCTGGCTTCTAGTCTGTTTCTAGCAAGCCATTCCATTGGCTTCTACCTCATCTCATCCCATACAGGATTTTGGGTGGTGAGCAAAGACCTATAAGATTTGGCAAGAGGGCCAGGCATGGTGGTTCATGCCTGTAATTCCAGCACTTTGGGGAGCCGATGTGGGCAGACCACGAGGTCAGGAGTTCAAGACCAGCCTGGCCAACATAGTGAAATCCCATCTCTACTAAAAATACAAAATTAGCCAGGCATGGTGGCACACACCTGTAGTCCCGGCTACTCGGGAGGCTGAGGCAGGAGAATCACTTGAACCTGAGGGGTGGAGGTTGCAGTGAGCTGAGATTTCGCCACTGCACTCCAGCCTGGGCGACAGAGTGACACTGTCTCAAAAAAGAAAAAATTTGGCAAGAGAACTCTCTGAGCAGCAGATTAAGTGGAGAATGAGACAAAAAAGTACCCCCACATACTGGAAAAGAAGGCAGCGAACAAACTTGCTCCTAAGCTTCCTGGTAGCCAATAGGAAAAGTGATATTAGAATAGCTACACAGATGATAATGTCCATGAGATTTTAAATTTTTCTTAAAAGGAATTCAGTAACTTTTCGTATGTGTGTGTGTGCGTTGGTGTAGGGCATGTCTTTATGAAGTCAGCTCTTTATGTTAGTACTATTACTGCCAATAATAAACCTCACAGCAAACTCATGAAATAAACATGATCTTTATTCCCTGTTGACAAATGAGTCCAAACTGTGCTTTAAGAGAATTCAGGGAAGGATGTGGTGGCTCACGCCTGTAATCCCAGCACTTTGGGGGACCGAGGCAGGCAGATCACCTGAGGTCAGGAGTTTGAGACCAGCCTGGTCAACGTGCTGAAACCCTGTCTTTATGAAAAATACGAAAATTATCCAGGCATGGTGGTGGGCAGCTGTAATCCCAGCTACTTGGGAGGCTGACGTAGGAGAATCACTTGAACCCAGGACCTGGAGGTTGCAGTGAGTTGAGATCGTGCCATTGCACTCCAGCCTGGGCAACAAGAACAAAACTCAGCCTCAAAAAGAAAAAAAAAAAAAAAAAAAAGAAAGAAATCCTTTGAATCACATAGCCAGAAAGCCTGTCGCTAAATTCTGGGACTGATTTAGATGATGACAATGGGGTCCTTGGGTCCCTGACTCAACTAGAAAGCAGAGTTGTAGGAAGAATAAAACAATTACAAATGGCAGTCCACACTGGGACAAAAATGTAAAAGGGCTGAGATAATTTAGGGAGGGTGATCAGGGCAGCCCTCCTGAGGAGGTTCGATCTGGGCCATAACTTGAATTACAAAAAGGAATGAAGCTTGCAAAGGTTAGGGGGAAAAACAGTGGAATATTATTTGGTCATAAAAACAGAAGGAAGCACTGATTCGTGCTTCAGCGTGGATGAGTCCTGAAAGTATTATGTCAAGTGGAGGAAGCCAGACACAAAAGACTGCATATTGCAGAATTCCATCCATAAGAAATCTCCTGAACTGACAAATTCATAGAGACAGAAAGTAGATTCCTGTTTGCCAGGGACTGAGGAAAGAGAAATGGGGAGATAGATGGGATACTGGTTTTCTTTTTCTTTTCTTTTCTTTTTTTTTTTTTGAGACGGAGTCTCGCTCAGCCGCCCAGGCTGAAGTGCAATGGCGCATTCTCGGCTCACTGCTAATTTTCCTATTTTTTTAAGGTAGATACGCGGCTAGGCTAGTCTCCAACTCCTAACATCAAGTGATCTGCCCACCTCGACCTCCCAAAGTGCTGGGATTACAGGCGTGAGCCACCGTGCCCGGCCGATTTACCCTTATTTTAATGCAGTGCATTTAACTGTACGATTACGGCATTTACGTGTAATTTTTTTTGTTGTTCATGTCATAAGGGTCATGTGCCGATGTCGTAACAAGATTTGAGGAAGGCGCATCTCACACATGCGCGTGAACACCCAATCATCTCGCTTAGAAACTACAAAAGGATCTAGCTGTAAGTTTAAATTATTACTGCTTGTGCTAATAACCAGCTCACAAGAGTCCTGAATTTGTAATAACCTGCACCCCGGTGGGCAGTTACGTGTGGTAGAACCCATGCTGGGCTGGGGCGGGGAGGGGGCTCAGAGGTCTGCAGTCTAAAGTCTAGATACTTCACTTTATTTGGATTGATAAAAGTTCAGTTACGTACGAGCAAAGGGAGATGGAAAAAAGAAAAAAGTAAAAAACAAGAAATAAGATTAAGCTCCGTTCTCTCTAAATTTGAATCAGCCCAGGCCTCGCCCATTCCAGAAATTTGGACTGACCCTGACTCCGCCCCAACCTCTTCCAACCCGGCTCCTTCCCGCCCCGCCAGTGTCGTCGTCATGACAACCGCGTCCACCTGGCCTCTACTGCTAGGGGTGGGGAAGCCTGGTCCTCAGTGTTCCCATTGGCCAAAAGTTTGTAGCGGGCGGACCTCGCTAACTCTCATTGGTCAGTTGCCCGCCGAGGTGCAAGCCCTCATGCACCCATTGGTCCACTGATCGAAAAGGGCGGGGACTCTGGCCAGCGGTTGTGGAGGGTCGTGGGTCCACAGTGCTGCACTGAGCAGAGGGGAAGGGGCGTCCCAGGATATTTGGAGGATAAAGGTGTGGGTAGGGTATCATGTGGCGGCCAAGGGGAGCGAAGTGAAGGGCGGCGAGAGGGGAGCGGGGTGAGCAATGTGTGGGATTCCCAGAATGTCTTTTCCGCAGGGTGATGACCACACCTGCCGGCTCCGGCATGGGCTTCGGCTCGGTGTCATGGTGGGGCCTGTCCCCGGCGCTGGACCTGCAGGCTGAAAGTGAGTCCCAGCACGCACGGTCTGATACACCGCTTGCCTTCCCAGCCTGCGCAGACAGCCTTTCAGAGCTCGTAGTCCCAGCGTCGGTGGCAGGGGGCGCGCTAACGTTCTCCAGGGCTCCAACGGTGGAGGGCATGCCTCCAGGGCAGGGCCGAGGTCTTGTGTGCGGACTACGAATCCCAGAATGCTCGGAGGAATCAACTCCCCTTAGAACCTGGGCCACGGGCGCGTCGCCTACTGGGATTTGTAGTCCATTGTTGTAGGGGGACGCTACGGGGGACGCTCTGGCGACCACCATGGTGCCCCAACCTGCTGTCATCTTCCCAGGTCCTCCTGTGGACCCAGACTCCCAGGCCGATACGGTGCATAGCGTCCCCAAGCTAGATGTGCTGCTGCTGGGCTCTGTGGATGGGCGCCACCTGCTGCGGACCCTGTCCCGAGCAAAGCTCTGGCCTCGCAGGAGGTTCAACGTGAGCTGGGATGAAGATGAGACCCCAGATTCCCGAGTCCTTGAGGGAGGAGGGGATTGGAATTCTAAAACCTCAGGTCCAGGAATGAAGGAGCTGGAGACTCCTAGATCTGAGGGAGGTGGACGCTGGGAGAGCCCATGCGTCTTGGGGAAGGAAGGGACTGGGGTTTGGAACTCCTGGGTTCTGTAGGCGGGGAAGAGCCCAAGGATCAGGTCTTCTGAGGAATGGAAGGGAAGAGAGCTCTGGGGACCCAGACTCCTATGCTTGAAGGAAGAGGCCGGTGTACAGAACTCCTGGGCGTGTGGAAGGAGAGGGCTGAGGGCCCACTCTCCTGGGTCTGCTAGGGCCCAGGCAAGCAGGTCTCAGAATTTTTCTGCCCTGTCCATCCTTCTAGTTCTTTGTCCTGGAGAATAATCTGGAAGCTGTGGCCCGACACATGCTGATCTTCAGCCTAGCCCTGGAGGAACCTGAGAAGATGGGCCTGCAAGGTCAGTTGCTAGGACCCAGGCATTCCAACTGCCGGTTTCCTCCCCCTCCCTAGAAGGATTCTGGCATTTCGATGGTACAATTTAAAAATTTGGTTATTTTCCCGGGAGGCGGAGGTTGCGGGGAGACGAGATTGTGCCATTGCACTCCAGCCTGGGCAGCAAGAGCGAAACACCATCTAAAAAGAAAAAAATTCAAATATATTTATTAATCATTGTCCCCTATGATATAATTTGTCATCTTAGAGCCTCAGCTTCTCCCACCTGTAAAATGGGGCTAAATATAATATATCTTAGAGCCACTTAGAAAATTCCAGTTTGGCCAGTCGCAGTGGCTCACGTCTCACGTCTATAATCCCAGCACTTTGGGAGGCCGAGGCGGGCAGATTGCCTGAGCTCAGGAGTTTGAGATCAGTCTGGGCAACACGGTGAAA